GACATTCGTACCGGACGTCCGAAAATTATTTTCGGTTTTCGGACATTCGAACCGGACGTCCGAAAAACAATTTTGGTTTTCGGACATTCGGACCGGACGTCCATTTCCAAAAAAAATTCGGACGGACGGACAAAATTTTGTCCGTTGACACCTCTATTTAGGGTTAGTTGGTTTTGTTGAGAAAAAAATTTCGGGTACAAAACAACTGATATCAAATTAAAAAACTTCTTTCGAAGTAATTCCTCGTGACGAAAGCGAAAACAAAACAGCTGATATCAATTTTAACAAATAATTTCGGAGCGATTTGGATTTGTTTCTTTTGCATTCTTCCAACTAATTTCAGAATCGCTCCGTAATGATTTTTTAAAATTGATATCAGCTGTTTTGTGTTCGCTTTCGTCACGAGGAATTACTTCGAAAGAAGTTTTTTAATTTGATATGAATAACGGCAGTGTTTTGTGAATGGATCAATAACTAAATCTTCAAATTTTGAGCTTTTTAAATTTATGTATGTGAACAAATAGGCGAGTTCGACTTCCAGCACTAGGTTGCTTTCGTCACTCGCGCCTGCTGTCGCCGGCTGTTATATGGCATTTGGTAGTCGAACATTTACCTGGGATCGAATCGAATCAATCTTTTCTTTCTAAGCTAGTACATCAACCAAATATCATTTTTATTGTATTTTTTCCTTCTAAATCTAATAAATGGTGGTTGGAAAATCGGTCAAAGATTTTCCGGATAAGTCACATGCCATAAGTACTATAAATCAAAAGTTGCGCAAATACAATATCTATCAGTTGATATATTGGGTTCAACAAAATGGGGAAATATTTATATTTACCTGTCTGGCCGTAAGCTAGAAGACAAGCATTATATCCTGAAAAAATACACAGAATGCAACAATCAATTTAAATTTCCATTTGGATGAAGTTTTTTGTATGATTTTTGCGGAATAGAGTTCACAAAATACAGAAAGATATAATGTATAGGTGAGATTGAGAGTAGTGTATGTTTCACTGACTTTGTTATGAAAGTAAGTTTCTTTCGACTTAAAAATGGTTAAAGGCGAGTATGTTCATTTTTGGCGGGTCGTCACGGTTTTTCGCGGTTTTCGTGGAACTGATAAGAGATAACAACTTCTTGCGCGAATCTGATAAGAGATAAGAGATAACTGTCTTCAGCTTAGTTATAGAAGACCTTGAGTACTACAACTTTGCCGAAGACACCAAGTTGTTTTCTCTTATCAGTTGCGAAAAAACCTTGAAGACCACGGAGGCTAGACGGTATTTCAACATACTCTACTTTAACGGCAACAGAATCATACTCGCCTTTTCAAAAATATAAATCGAAGGAAAAACATACTCCACTCTCAATCTCACCATAGATATAGTATCCCATCACTTGCGACAAATTTTTTAATTCTGCTGGAATCGGTTTATAATAATTGATAATAGTTATTGATGGAACGATCGAATCTAACATTTTTTTCCGCACACCGGACTATACAGAAATTTGTAAAGGTGTCAATCGGACAGGACAGTCCGAAAAAATGGCAATTTTGTCCATCCGTCCGTCCGAAGTGACTTTTTTCGGACGTCCGAAATGTCCGGTCCGAGAGTTTAAACGGACGGACCGGACATTCGAAAAGTTTTCGGATATTCGGACACGACATTTCTTCGGACATTCGGACAAATTTTCATTTTTTCGGACGAACAGACCGGACGGACACGGACACAACTATTTTTTGTCCGAACCTAAAAATGTACTGGAATTTCCAAAATTTGCGAAAAAAAATTTCATAACTTTTTTTCATTAAAAAAAATATTAAGGACCACTGAACACCGAACTGGAATTACCGAAATTTACGAAAAAAAATTTCATACATTTTTTTTTGTTCAAATTTCAAAGTAGACTGAAACTGGATACTGGAGATTTTGCATTGACGTTTCCGACTGTAAACATGACATCAATTCATATGCGTGTGCTGTCAAAGTCACTTTGTCATGCGTCATTCACATTAATGCTTTGACTGATTGTGGTGAACAGTAGAAACGCCATACATTTAGACAATGACAATCCCAACAGATTGGAAACGTCATACATTTTATATACATTATTTGTTTGGGAATTATATTCATTTATTTTCTTTTATTGTTGATATTCGGGCTCTGCAAAGCCTAGGCTTCATCCACGATTTGTTTTCCAAAGAAATATTTTGAAAAAATCGTGAGTTTGCACTGTCAACACTTGTGTGGTTTTTCATATGATTTTGAAGTCATCGAATATTGTCACCCGTTCACACATTCGATGAACTTGCTACACCAAGTGATAGTTTAGTTCATTGCTGACGTTTTCCAATCCGCCATACGTTTTCATATGTGTGTGTACATCAAATTTTTAAAGTTGTCTAGAATCCAACCAAGTTCGTCGTTCTTTGAGTATACGATCCAACTATTTGAGTATACGATCCAATTATTGCGGTTTCATATGGAAATTTCGTGTATTTTTAAAATGCTTTATCAATCAGACAAAAGGCCCAATTTGTGCCGAATAGTTTAAACTAAGCGCCCAAAAAAGATTTTCAATGAATATATAATGTAATTTACCAGATTTATTAAATCTGGGATTAGAAACGATATTTTCGAGTTGGACAACATTGAGTATACCGTTTAATATTTGTTTAATAAATAGAGAAATTTTACAGAAATTGAAAAAGTGGGGATACAGTATGATGCTCAAGCTTTATGTTGCTTCGAAATGGTATATATATTTTGCTCCACCGAAAACAGAAATGGAGACGGCAAAAAAAATTTTTCATGACCATCAACACATGTGAATATTTCTTGAACCAAGGATGATATCGAAGCATATTGAGTGGCGTTTGAAAGCTTAACAGTAGACCGAAAAAAATCAGGCTTTGTTATGCGCTAAATCCATCACGCTATAAATTATTGCGATAGATTCATGCGATAAATCTGATGCGCTCGCTTTGCGATGAACGAAGTCTGTTGCTCTTTACTTGTTCACGCATGAACGCTCGTGCTTTGCAGTGAACGCATCGCTCAGCGGTAGTGAAGGGCAACAAACCTCATTCACTGCAAAGTGAGCGCATCACATTTATCGCATGAATTTATTCAGCGTGATGGATTTAGCGCATAACAAAGCCTGAAAAAAATGCAATGATAATTAATGAATAATTCGAGTACCTCGATTTTTGTTAGAAAAATAATCGAATTTGTTCGGGAGGTACCCTAGTTTTTCATCCAATTGGCTTCAAATTTGGTATGGATTAGTTTTTTCATAAAAAAATTAGATTCCAATACCTAAATTGCAGTTTTATCTGCAAAAAAGTATATTCGCCGAACAAAATTTGCTGTTTTTCATGATTTTTCAGTTTTAGTGAGTTCAAACATGTTTTGTGCTATATCTCAGGAACCACCCAACCGATTTTGATAAATAGGGTACCAAAATTTATGGGAAGGTCTCACCTTTCAAGTAATTGCACCTTTCTGTCATAATTTCTGAGTTTCAAACCCGAATTCACTATGCTATGTTGATAGGCGCTACCATAGAGCTTACCAAAGTCAATATTTTTCTTATTCAGACGCAGTCAATGACAGATAGCTGAGGATATATGCAGGCTTGCCACTCGTTTTGAAGAAAAATTTAGTCGAAATAGTTGAAGCGGAAAAAATAGTTGAAATAGTTGCCTTTTTTATAAAAGATAGTTGAAATTTGTTTTCAAAAAAAGTAGATATAGTCGAAATTCTTACCTCAATAATAAACTGAAATTACAAGCCTAAGAATATCGCTGTGACGGGCAAAAATTTTACTTATTTTAAATTTTTGATTATCGACTTCGACGATTCGTTCTAGCCATTCTGGGCTGAACGAATAAGTTGTTTTTTCGCTCATTGCTGCAAGACAACTGAGCTCAATCAAATGATATTTCATGCATATTCTTGAATATCGAACCGTTATGTGAATATACATTGGGCTAGACATTGGGTTTCCAAGAAATCCATAAATAACAATTCGATCAAATTTTGCCATTGCTGTGCTAGCAATAAATCCATTTTGTATATATACATCCATTTTTTAAACAAAACATTAACATATGATAAGAATAAATATTAAACAAATAATTCAATCTTTGCTTCGTTTGCTAATAATGACTCATTATCTCTTATATTGATTACTTTGCGTTTCGATCGGTTTCGATACTGTAATTTTGTTTTTGAATTGAAAAAATAATAGTAGGAAATGGCGAAAAATAGTCGGATTTTGGGTCAAAAAGTCGAAAATAGCTGCGATTTTAAAAAATAGTTGAAAATAGTCGCCTGTGGCAAGCCTGCATAATGTGATGGAGTATGCCGTAAAACGGTAAAAGTGTGTTTTGAGTTCTTTTGCCAAAATATTTTCATCATCACGGAATTTCAACTTTCTTGTTGTTTTGGTGAAGCAACGATTTGAAAGGTATTATATTCTGGAAGCTAATGTCGAGTATTATCTATGAACAATAACAGTTTGGATAAATATTTGGTGCCGCACACTAATATTTTGAAATTGAGCAATAGTAGAGCGCCTGTGTCAGACAGCGGACAATTCCATGCGATGTCAACTTTTCATATTTGTCAATGACATGAAGTTGGCAGCGTATGAATTTAACATTCAGAGCTCTACTGTTGTCTCATATGAAAGTCGTCTCAAATTTTTTTTTATTTAATTGAAAATTTGAGTTATTAAAAATGAAAAAAAGAAACAAAATACAAAAGAAAAACATTTTCCAACATTTTCCAACATTTTTTGTTTGTTGGAACTAATCAAGTTCCTCTAACATATTTTTCGGAAAAATTTACCGGTGCAGCGTGTTAGTTGGTTATGTTTAGCGGTATTGAATGGCATCAAATGACATTGATCGACATTTCACATTGTAATTTAATTGGAGTACAATTAGTATTTTGAAGAATCTAATTTTGGCATAAATGCCTTTTACACGTCATTCTGTCATAATTTAACTGCAATGTAAAATGTCGGAGAATGTCATTCGATTCCATTCAACACCGCTTAACGTAACCAAAATAACAGGCTGCACCGGCCAATTTTCCCGAGAAAAAAATAGTTTGGATCTCCATGAATGAATCTCTTGCAATTTTGTTATTGTTACAATCGATTTTATTCTCCAAAAATGTTCTGTAGAACTATAGATTTACATTTTCGATATATTATTAATATGTTAATAACCAAAATATCGGAAAATTTCTAATAACTCAAACATAACATATTATTAGATTAATAAGGTTCTACGATATTATTAACATAGGGGACGAGGGGGCTATTCGCTCCACTTTTTTTCACGGAATTTGGACAGCTAGAAGCGAAGTTATTACGCCTAAAGTGACACTACCTTTTTTCACCGGTTGACAGGCGAATTTTGGCCCAAAAATTCGAAAAAATGACTTTGCGCCGATTTTTATTTATTTAAGAAGTAGTCCACGCATTATCAAACCCGTGGTACCGTTGGAAAGGTAATTGATGGGGCTACAAAAATACTCAGTCAACCACCCCCTCCAACCCCATTGAGGTCCCCAAAAACACGCCAATTGCCCCTTCTGTTTGTGGCGCGAATAGCCCCGAGGCATATGTTGTTGTTTGAAGCACGATTCAGCCACAAAAATTGAAAATATTCAAAACAAATTTATATCCATAAGAAAGAGCTGGTGATAAGCTACAAAATACTTCAATCCGTTTTTAAAAATTTTTAAATTTTAATGGTAAAAGCTGAAGTTCTATGAGCTCAAAAAATGAACTCAGCACTAGCTCAAAACCTGTTTGTGCCTGTACAGAGCCTATAATCAAATGAAAAATATCGAATTA